ATGCGTTTTTGGTCATAAAATTAGTGTTCCTCTACTCGGATCGGGCTGTCAATTTTTTTCTACACTTTTAGGTGTATTTTGTGCAAGAAATTGCAATAAAATAGTGTGCCTAAGAAAAATTGAATTTTTTTGAAAATTTTTCTTTTACGAAAATCGCTTTAATGGTCATAAAATTGGTGTTCCTCTACTCGGATCAGGCTGTCAATTTTTTTCTACACTTTTAGGTGTATTTTGTGCAAGAAATTGCAATAAAATAGTGTGCCTAAGAAAAATTGAATTTTTTTGAAAATTTTTTTTTTACGAAAATCGCTTTAATGGTCATAAAATTGGTGTTCCTCTACTCGGATCGGGCTGTCAATTTTTTTCTACACTTTTAGGTGTATTTTGAGCAAGAAAATGCAATAAAATCGTCTGCCTAAGAAAAATTGAATTTTTTTGGAATGTTTTTTATGCTTTTGGATGCGTTTTTGGTCATAAAATTAGTGTTCCTCTACTCGGATCGGGCTGTCAATTTTTTTCTACACTTTTAGGTGTATTTTGTGCAAGAATATGCAATAAAATCGTCTGCCTAAGAAAAATTGAATTTTTTTGAAAATTTTTCTTTTACGAAAATCGCTTTAATGGTCATAAAATTGGTGTTCCTCTACTCGGATCGGGCTGTCAATTTTTTTCTACACTTTTAGGTGTATTTTGTGCAAGAAATTGCAATAAAATAGTGTGCCTAAGAAAAATTGAATTTTTTTGAAAATTTTTCTTTTACGAAAATCGCTTTAATGGTCATAAAATTGGTGTTCCTCTACTCGGATCGGGCTGTCAATTTTTTTCTACACTTTTCGGTGTATTTTGTGCAAGAATATGCAATAAAATCGTCTGCCTAAGAAAAATTGAATTTTTTTGAAAATTTTTCTTTTACGAAAATCGCTTTAATGGTCATAAAATTGGTGTTCCTCTACTCGGATCGGGCTGTAAATTTTTTTCTACACTTTTAGGTGTATTTTGAGCAAGAAAATGCAATAAAATCGTCTGCCTAAGAAAAATTGAATTTTTTTGGAATGTTTTTTATGCTTTTGGATGCGTTTTTGGTCATAAAATTAGTGTTCCTCTACTCGGATCGGGCTGTCAATTTTTTTCTACACTTTTAGGTGTATTTTGTGCAAGAATATGCAATAAAATCGTCTGCCTAAGAAAAATTGAATTTTTTTGAAAATTTTTCTTTTACGAAAATCGCTTTAATGGTCATAAAATTGGTGTTCCTCTACTCGGATCGGGCTGTCAATTTTTTTCTACACTTTTAGGTGTATTTTGTGCAAGAAATTGCAATAAAATAGTGTGCCTAAGAAAAATTGAATTTTTTTGAAAATTTTTTTTTTACGAAAATCGCTTTAATGGTCATAAAATTGGTGTTCCTCTACTCGGATCGGGCTGTCAATTTTTTTCTACACTTTTAGGTGTATTTTGTGCAAGAATATGCAATAAAATCGTCTGCCTAAGAAAAATTGAATTTTTTTGAAAATTTTTCTTTTACGAAAATCGCTTTAATGGTCATAAAATTGGTGTTCCTCTACTCGGATCGGGCTGTCAATTTTTTTCTACACTTTTAGGTGTATTTTGTGCAAGAAATTGCAATAAAATAGTGTGCCTAAGAAAAATTGAATTTTTTTGAAAATTTTTCTTTTACGAAAATCGCTTTAATGGTCATAAAATTGGTGTTCCTCTACTCGGATCGGGCTGTCAATTTTTTTCTACACTTTTAGGTGTATTTTGTGCAAGAATATGCAATAAAATCGTCTGCCTAAGAAAAATTGAATTTTTTTGAAAATTTTTCTTTTACGAAAATCGCTTTAATGGTCATAAAATTGGTGTTCCTCTACTCGGATCGGGCTGTCAATTTTTTTTTACACTTTTAGGTGTATTTTGTGCAAGAATATGCAATAAAATCGTCAGCCTAAGAAAAATTGAATTTTTTTGGAATGTTTTTTATGCTTTTGGATGCGTTTTTGGTCATAAAATTAGTGTTCCTCTACTCGGATCGGGCTGTCAATTTTTTTCTACACTTTTAGGTGTATTTTGTGCAAGAATATGCAATAAAATCGTCTGCCTAAGAAAAATTGAATTTTTTTGAAAATTTTTCTTTTACGAAAATCGCTTTAATGGTCATAAAATTGGTGTTCCTCTACTCGGATCGGGCTGTAAATTTTTTTCTACACTTTTAGGTGTATTTTGTGCAAGAAATTGCAATAAAATAGTGTGCCTAAGAAAAATTGAATTTTTTTGAAAATTTTTTTTTTACGAAAATCGCTTTAATGGTCATAAAATTGGTGTTCCTCTACTCGGATCGGGCTGTCAATTTTTTTCTACACTTTTAGGTGTATTTTGAGCAAGAAAATGCAATAAAATCGTCTGCCTAAGAAAAATTGAATTTTTTTGGAATGTTTTTTATGCTTTTGGATGAGTTTTTGGTCATAAAATTAGTGTTCCTCTACTCGGATCGGGCTGTCAATTTTTTTCTACACTTTTAGGTGTATTTTGTGCAAGAAATTGCAATAAAATAGTGTGCCTAAGAAAAATTGAATTTTTTTGAAAATTTTTCTTTTACGAAAATCGCTTTAATGGTCATAAAATTGGTGTTCCTCTACTCGGATCGGGCTGTCAATTTTTTTCTACACTTTTAGGTGTATTTTGTGCAAGAATATGCAATAAAATCGTCAGCCTAAGAAAAATTGAATTTTTTTGGATGGTTTTTATGCTTTTGGATGCGTTTTTGGTCATAAAAATGGTCTTCCTCTACTCGGATCTGGGTGTCAATTTTTGTCTACACTTTTCGGTGTATTTTGTGCAAGAATATGCAATAAAATCGTCTGCCTAAGAAAAATTGAATTTTTTTGGAATGTTTTTTATGCTTTTGGATGCGTTTTTGGTCATAAAATTAGTGTTCCTCTACTCGGATCGGGCTGTCAATTTTTTTCTACACTTTTAGGTGTATTTTGTGCAAGAAATTGCAATAAAATAGTGTGCCTAAGAAAAATTGAATTTTTTTGAAAATTTTTCTTTTACGAAAATCGCTTTAATGGTCATAAAATTGGTGTTCCTCTACTCGGATCAGGCTGTCAATTTTTTTCTACACTTTTAGGTGTATTTTGTGCAAGAAATTGCAATAAAATAGTGTGCCTAAGAAAAATTGAATTTTTTTGAAAATTTTTTTTTTACGAAAATCGCTTTAATGGTCATAAAATTGGTGTTCCTCTACTCGGATCGGGCTGTCAATTTTTTTCTACACTTTTAGGTGTATTTTGTGCAAGAATATGCAATAAAATCGTCTGCCTAAGAAAAATTGAATTTTTTTGAAAATTTTTTTTTTACGAAAATCGCTTTAATGGTCATAAAATTGGTGTTCCTCTACTCGGATCGGGCTGTCAATTTTTTTCTACACTTTTAGGTGTATTTTGTGCAAGAAAATGCAATAAAATAGTCTGCCTAAAAAAAATTGAATTTTTTTGGAATGTTTTTTATGGTTTTGGATGCGTTTTTGGTCATAAAAATGGTCTTCCTCTACTCGGATCTGGGTGTCAATTTTTGTCTACACTTTTCGGTGTATTTTGTGCAAGAATATGCAATAAAATCGTCTGCCTAAGAAAAATTGAATTTTTTTGGAATGTTTTTTATGCTTTTGGATGCGTTTTTGGTCATAAAATTAGTGTTCCTCTACTCGGATCTGGGAGTCAATTTTTTTCTACACTTTTCGGTGTATTTTGTGCAAGAATATCCAATAAAATCATCTGCCTAAGAAAAATTGAATTTTTTTGGAATGTTTTTTATGGTTTTGGATGCGTTTTTGGTCATAAAAATGGTCTTCCTCTACTCGGATCTGGGTGTCAATTTTTGTCTACACTTTTCGGTGTATTTTGTGCAAGAATATGCAATAAAATCGTCTGCCTAAGAAAAATTGAATTTTTTTTAGATGTTTTTTATGCTTTTGGATGCGTTTTTGGTCATAAAATTAGTGTTCCTCTACTCGGATCGGGCTGTCAATTTTTTTCTACACTTTTAGGTGTATTTTGAGCAAGAAAATGCAATAAAATCGTCTGCCTAAGAAAAATTGAATTTTTTTGGAATGTTTTTTATGCTTTTGGATGCGTTTTTGGTCATAAAAATGGTCTTCCTCTACTCGGATCTGGGTGTCAATTTTTGTCTACACTTTTCGGTGTATTTTGTGCAAGAATATGCAATAAAATCGTCTGCCTAAGAAAAATTGAATTTTTTTGGAATGTTTTTTATGCTTTTGGATGCGTTTTTGGTCATAAAATTAGTGTTCCTCTACTCGGATCGGGCTGTCAATTTTTTTCTACACTTTTAGGTGTATTTTGTGCAAGAATATGCAATAAAATCATCTGCCTAAGAAAAATTGAATTTTTTTGGAATGTTTTTTATGGTTTTGGATGCGTTTTTGGTCATAAAAATGGTCTTCCTCTACTTGGATCTGGGTATCAATTTTTGTCTACACTTTTCGGTGTATTTTGTGCAAGAATATGCAATAAAATCGTCTGCCTAAGAAAAATTGAATTTTTTTGGAATGTTTTTTATGCTTTTGGATGCGTTTTTGGTCATAAAATTAGTGTTCCTCTACTCGGATCTGGGTGTCAATTTTTTTCTACACTTTTCGGTGTATTTTGTGCAAGAATATGCAATAAAATCATCTGCCTAAGAAAAATTGAATTTTTTTGGAATGTTTTTTATGGTTTTGGATGCGTTTTTGGTCATAAAAATGGTCTTCCTCTACTCGGATCTGGGTGTCAATTTTTGTCTACTCTTTTCGGTGTATTTTGTGCAAGAATATGCAATAAAATCGTCTGCCTAAGAAAAATTGAATTTTTTTGTCAATTTTCTTATGACGGAAAGTTGTCCAATAGGATGTTGGTAGCGCGAATTCGCGCGCTCGTGTGTTGCTAGTTATATAATAAAAAAAGTGACCAAAAATCTATGTAATTTGGGGGAATAAATACCTTAATGAGTTTTAAGGATTTGATATTATCAAACAGCTTTTTGGTATGCGGTTGAATGAGTTCCGGTTTCTTTGAATTCGCAAGAATTTCAAGTAAGTCGTCATTGGAGATAAAGTAAAATCTTGGAAATATGTGCCGTTTTAATTCCAAATATTGCTCAAGCGCTCGTTGAATCGTTTCTAATTCTTTATTCAGAGTAAGTAGAATTTTGAGTAAATTAGCTGAAAGAAGAAAATTTGGAATGAATAATAATTCTTATTTAAAAATATTTTTTTATTTATTTTCTCTTTTTATTAAATTATCAAAACTAACTTGGTTCTTGTGTTGCAGGAATGGCGAAAGCAGCTTTAGTCATGTTGAAAGTTACTTCAGCCCATGCGTCTGTTACTTTACTAAAATCGTCAGTTTCTTTTGGAAGTTGCTTTCTGATATCTTCCGCATTTAAGATATTATCTAAATAAACATATCCCCTTTGAACCAATAAAACATTTTCTAAAACTTCATCAACTGTTGATAAAGCTCGTTCCCAATAGTCAACTTGATCAGCAAACGGCTCAACAAATCTAAAAAGATTATAATTATTAATAATAAAATAAGTTTTTTAATTATACAAATTAATTTTATTTTTGAAACAATTACTTGGTTGATTTCATAGCAGATAATTGGACCTGATGTTCCTCTAAAGCTTGATTAATTTCATCTACTGTTTTTAATCGATAGACTCCTTTGTCTTTATATGCTGTCATTTCTATCGGCATCACACTCCAAATTTGGCTAATATTTTTTAGCCCCTAAAAAGAAGAAATAATAATTAATAAAATTTAAAATAAGTTATTCAGTTATCACTTATAAATTATTATTATAATTAAATTAACAAACCAATTCTATGGCGAGTTCCATAGTGGCTGCATTTGAAATTTCACCAATTTCATCAGCTACAAGATGCATTTGCATTTCCGCTATTGCATCTAATGTGAATTCTTCAGAATTTTGATTAAAATCACGTTGCACTAATTCCTTTACTTTTGTCCAATGACGTTCTCTTATCGCTGTATTTTTTAGATCTGTAATTAACGGAAGTGTTCTTCGAAATTTGTCAACTCGTGATCTAAAAGAAATTTTAAAAAATATATTTTTCAAAATTATAAACGTTTTTAAATAAAGTAAAATTGTAAACTATTAAATTTTTTTACCTTGAGGTATCAACAATTTCCCAATTTTTCTCTTTTAATTCTCTGGACAGTCTTGTGAGTTTTCTAAAAAGAATATTTCCAGTTTCACTCATGTCATCTAAGTCGATACTCCAGAAATTTCCTGTTTTATAACGCTCCCAACTTTCGTCCCAATCATTTGTTAGACTCCACACAAGCTCAATGGCAGTAACATCCTTGTCCAATTTAGCAAATTCTACTGAATCAGGGTGGCTAATAGCAAATATGGACAAATTTGCTCTTAAAATTTTTTCCCTCGTTGCCAATTCTGACATTTCTTTGCGAAATTTTACAAGCCATTGAATAGCACCTGTAAATAAAAATAAAAAAATTACATTACACATAAATTTCTAACGATTAATTTATAAATTATATAATTAAATAAAACTTTTTTCCATTAAAGTTTTTATTACAAAAAAAAATTTAGTTTTACCTTTAGTAATCCATTCGGAAGTAAAAGGTCCCTCGTCATAAAATCTTGTAACTAATTTTATAATTTGAGCTTTAAGAAAAACAGCTTCTTGCAACAATTTGTTTTTAAATTCATCCTAAAAAAAAAATATTTTTAATTTAAATAAAATAAAGTAAAATGGAATTTTTTTTATTATTTGTTATAGGAAAAAAAACCTTTTTCTCCAATAAAGCAATTTCACATGTTGACAATAATTCCAAATATTCAGACCACATTGTTTCTAGATCTCTGACTCGTCTCTTATATTCCAAAGTCATTTGTACCTCGTATTTTTCTAGACAAAGAAAATATAAGAAAATTCTCTATTTTTCTTAATTTAAAAAAGTAATTTAATATATAAAATTATACCTAATGTTTGGTATTGCTCACGAATTTCAGAAAATTCATCCTCTTTTTTGGGAATTTCATCCTTAAGTTTTTGAAAAAATTTCATACTTGCTTGCATTGTTACAAGATCTGTTGGCATTTTTTGTATTCTAAAAAAAAAATACAGATTTACTTATTTTGCAATAAATATGAAAACAAAAATTAATTTAATAAATCATATTGAAAAAGAACTTACTTTTTACTATTTTCAGAGACATATTTATAGATACTATTAATTTTTTCCTCTGCAATTCTCAATAATAATTGAATAAATTTTTTTTGCCATATAAAACATTGATCAATAACAGATAATTTTAGTTTCTCACAATTAATAATTACAAAATGAACTGTGACCATTGTATCTTGTTGTTGAACATTATTAGCTAATTCTGTATATTGTCCGATATCCGAATCAAAATATGCTACTGTTGGATTCAATTTTTCGTATCTAAATAATAAAGAAAAAAAAAAATCTATTGTCATAAAAAATAAATTTTTTTGATTTCCAAGTAAATTTTTCAAAAAATAAATTTCTCTAATCACGGAAAATTTGTTTTTGTTTTTCAATTTATTTTTTACCTTTCAATAAATGATTCCTTGTTAATTTCCCACAATTCTCGGAATTGTTCCCAAGTTTTCAAATAATTTTGAATCTGCGTAAAACAAAAGGCCACCTCTGTTGATAGACAAATTACAAATTCAATAAAGTAAAATCTAGAAAACAAAAATAAACAATTATTAATTATTATAAAATGTTACCTTTATTGCATGATTGTTGCAATCGAAGAGTCTCAGTGTCGTTTGATAAAATTTTCCAAAATTGTTTTTGATACGATGAATTATTTTGTAAAGATTGCTGTAATCTTTGAATCGATTTTAAGGGTTGTAGAAGACACATTACTATGTCACCAAGAAAGTTTGAAATTTCTGTTAAGCTCGGGGTAAAATTTATCTGTAAAAAAAAAAAATTTCAACAAGAAATGAATCAGTAGTAAAAGATAATTTCAAGCAGACATAACTATTCCTAGGCAATTTAATTTTAAATAATTTGAAAAATTTTTTTTTTCACTTAAGAATTTTTTTAAATACAAATTGGAAGATATTGTTACATGATTGCTATTATTAATTTACTGTATGACATATATATTTGTTCACAATTCAAAAGTATATAAAAATAATTTTAATGAATTAAAAAATCAAAAAAAAAAAGATAAAAATAAAGAAATGACATTACGTTTTCTACACGTGTAATAAAATGAAATCATAGTTAGGAAATATTTTTTGTAATTAAAGACTTTGGTAAGTTTACTTAATGATTAGTAAGGTCTTCACACCTACGATTGAGATATATATATAATACGTTAAAAGCATCAGTTTCATTTAGACTTAGTTTTAGAAAAGTCAATTGTATTGTAAGATGAAGTTTTTCCTCTTTTTGGGATTAGTCACAATTTCTTTATCAATTTGTAAGTAAAATTTTTTTTAATAAAAAAATAATAATTGAAAATTATTATATATTTTTTTTACAGGTGAATGTTTGCAATGTTATAATTGCTATTTTGGCTCTACATTGAAAATGAATGATATTGATCAACAAATAATAAAACATAATACAATTACTCCAACAGAAAGATGTGGTATTATTAACAATACAATTTGTAAAACTTCAGATTATTGCGTCAATATGGTCGTGGATATAAGTAAGTTGGACAAAATTTTATACTTACTTTCAATGATTATTTGAAAACTTAACTTGATATTTTACATAATAATTAAAATTAATTTTTTTTTTTACAGACAGTGAGAAAACTTTTTATCAATTCTGTTCATACACACATATCAAAATTAATAAGAACTACTTTAATTTTTCAACAAGTAGAATTTTAAGTATAACTAAAAGTTTTTGTTTTAATGATTTCTGTGGCACTTTAAATGGCACTTACAATGGCACTTTCAATGGCAATTCGAATGGCGCTTTTAATGGCGCAAATTTTGTTACTAACAATTACCTTAGTATTATTATTATTCTTGTTCTCATAAAACTTGGTTGTCTCTAAATAATTGACTTCACATTCACATAATAAAGTATTAAATAATATTTAATAATTTTATACCTTAGTATCTAATAATTCTGCTTCCATTAATAAGAGAGGAGATGGAGCTGTCGTGCCATCTCCATGTAAAGCTTCAAATATTACATTTAGTGAATTATTTAAACACACTTTGAAAGATTCTTCTAATAATGTATCCAATTTCGCCAAATAAATAATCCATTCTGTAATAGTCTATATTTATATTATTAATAATTATTGTTTACTATCTTAATTTTTTTAATTTTATGTCTATTTTTTTTAGTTTTTTTTTTTTTTTGTTTTATAAACATATTTTAACTATTTATAAAATTATAATTATAAAATTTCTACAAACACTTTCTATAACGTGAATAAATCCTTGATATATTACAAACAAAAGTTGCACAATGATTTCATATTTTTTCATTATATTATCGTAAGCTTCGTCTCTAAAATTTTAATTTTTCACAAATATTCACTTAATATTAGTTTGAATAATAATAATAATAAAATAATAATAAAAATAGTAATAATTAAAAATCAAAATACTGATATTCATTAAATTTTAATTTTTATAATTAAAAATAATATTTTTTCTATAAAATAAGAAATGTAAAAATAAATAACTAGATAAAATTATTATCTACAATTACCTTGACTCCATAATATCTTGTATCAAATCCGGCAAGGCATAGGAATAATTTGGTCGTATTCGAATCAATGAAATATCGCAAATATTTTCGCAAATTTTCATTATTTGAAAATTGCAAGTTTTGTACGTATCAATTGTTTCTTGAAGCTGAAAATAAAAAAATTTCTTTAAACTTCGTAAAAATTAAAAATAAATAAAAAAAAATTATTACCTTTCTTGTGTGGATAAAACAGTCTTTTATATACGTTTCTATAAAATCAGAATTCCATGTTAACTTTACTAATCCAGGTTGAATTTCACGATCCAAGATTTTAATTAAATTTTTAAACAAAAGTTGTTCTTCACAGGAGAGTACTGTAATTTACAAATAATTAATATTGAATATTATTTGAAACAATAATACAAAGAAAAAATATATTACCATCTAAAATTTTATTGTATGCCAAAACAACAGAAACAACATTCTCATAGACAAAAAGTAAAGTATCTACTTTATCAGTGACAATTTGTATATTAATTGGAATTAAAAAATCCCAATCGAGCCAATGATTAACATCGCGACATAATTCTAAAATAAGCGGATCCATATTGCATTCGAGTTTAAAATTTAATTCCTCATTTTTTCTTCTCATTAGAAAGCAATTTAATCGCTCCTGTGGATTCTCTCCAATATAATTAATCCATTTTTTATAAAGATTCCTAATAATATCATTGAGTGACATCACTAAACTATCATATTTTTCACATATCACATCAGATATATTAGAAAATGGCATCCAATCGGCAAGTTTCAATAATTCACGAATTCTCACAAGTTTTGCTATTTTCATTTGTAAATTTTTCGCTCTTCCCGAATAATAGGGCAACATTGCCGGATATTTCTCCTTTTCTTCAATCACTTCTGCTTTTGCGTCGAGAATTCTTTTTTCAAACATTCTCCAAACCTGAAATTATTTATAAACTTATTATTATTTCAATGATAAAAAATTTCTAAAATAAATTTTATATATATTTTTTTTTTAATTACACGTGTGGTTTTGTTTTCGAAAATGGGTTTCAAAGTTTCACGATTGAGATAATTATAAAAACCATAGAGAGCATAAACACCATCTTCAATCGTATCATTGTAACTGAACACTGTGTTAAGTAAATTTTCAATCATAATTTCAAGATCCTTCATTTTACCTCGAAAAATAAACATATCATCGTGCCAAGTGACTTGATGTACATTTAAAATTTTATGTGAAATTTCTTTCACTGAATTTAAATAATTGAGAAATTCATCTTCTATATTTTGACAAGTTGCCTCAAATTCAGGACCTCTTGTACCGCGGAAAAATGGTTTTCCTATTGTCACCGTTTCGTCCATCCTTTTTTTCAGTAAAATTTATAAATAATAATTATTTTAACATTTTTCTAATTTTTAATAAATTTTGACAAAATTTTTTAAATTTTTTTCTTAACAAAAAATTTAAATACCTTCCAAAGTCTATCATAGCTTGACAAATTTCAATCAAATTTTCACACCTCTCGATAAAAATAAAAATGTTTTTAAATATTTGCTCTCTATTAAGTTTCCATTTGATGTTGGTGACTTTTTCATGAGCGCCAGCAATCTAAAAAGAAAAAAAAAATCTAATTAAATATTAAATATATTTCAAATAAATTTCTAGAAAATGAAAATGAATAAAATTTTTTTTTCAAATAACTACTAATAATTTAAAAGAAAAAAAAAAAATCTCACACGATCGTATATTTTTATATACTCTTGACATGTGTCAATGCATTCTTTAAGAATTTTCATATTTTTTCGTGTTTTTCCATTAAAAATTTTTTTAATATTGACAAATCTTATGCAACACAAGATGACCTGATTACTTAAAAAATCGAATAGTTGATTTATTTTCTCAATGCATTTCAAATACGGTGAATTGAGCCAAATTACTCGGAAAAGCTGTATTATTTTTGGCAAATGTTGAACAATTTCCAATGGTGTCAAACTCGCCGAGAGATCTATGCATGGTTGCTTTAAAATTTTCAGAAAATCTATATTCGATTGAGCTTCTTTAACAGCATCAATTATTTCATCCTTTAATAGAAAAAATTGTCGTATATAAGTGGACTGTGAACTCGACAAAATATTGATAATATGTGTAATTAAGGGCAATTTCAATTGATAAACCAATCCACTGAGATTTTTATCTGCAAAAAAAAAAAAATACAATTAAATAAAAAATTAATAATTAATTATCAAATATTTAATTTTTAATGAAAAACTATTAACATACGTCTGTAAATCCAAAAATCGTATTCATCAACTAAACACAATAATTCGTTTGTCGCTAATTGTTCTTTATCAGCAATGGCAATTTTCATTTGATTTAACCAATGACTCAATACTAATTCAAGTCTTTTTGTTAAATCTTTATCAGCATTTGCTTCATCAATATTGAGATCACTTCCTTCCAATGGAATATATAATACTGTTAATCCTAACATTTTAAATCTAAAATCCGTCAATTCACATAAAAATTTATGTAAACTTGTACAAAAGTCAATTTTAACATCTAGTCTTTGATTAAGAAAAATACATCTTTTTAATAATGAATTTTCAAAAATTTAATTAAAAATAAATCAAGGATACTATCGGGCCAGGAATCGATTTTAAAAAATATGGGAGCAAAGATATTTTCAATTTGTTGAAGAATATTCCCCTCAATTTGATCATTGATATTGCCAAATAAAATTTTTGAATGAAAATTTTCTATCGAAAATATTTCATCTGGATTTCTTGAAAAATACATTAATTGATAAACTGGTATCTTGGGAAATCCAATATTTGTCATTAAAGTTGATTCTTTAAAAAATATCGTGATAATTAATATATTGGAATTATAGAAAAATTCCTGAATTTTTGATATACACTGATCGGTCCAATCAGTTTCTTCCAAACCATTTAAAATTGTGAGATCCTTTATAAATTGTACCTTTTAATATTAAAAAATAAATTAATTACAATCAAATTTTTATATTTAAGTAGAATTTAAATATAAAAATTAAACATACTAATTTTATTATTTCTTCTTCGTGATAAACTATTTTCTCCGATTCAATAAAATCATTCTCATCATCTTTGCCTGTAAAATAAAATTGTTAATTTTTTGATAATTAGTCAATTAATTTTAGATAGTAATTAATAATTAGTTATTTTAGTAAAATTTTGCGATAAATTAAAAATAACTGAAAATACAATAATTTATTATTATTTTAATATTATACTATTTTCTTCATCGTCACTCGATTTTGTATATAAATATTCGTAACGTGGATCTAATTTAATTTTTTTTTTATATTTTTGAGTTGACATTTTTTTTATCCTATCACTTATTGTGTTACAATATTTATTTTTCAATTACTAATAATTGAAATAATAAATAAAGTCAAATAAAAGTATTTTTAGCGTTTTCTTTTTTAAAAAACTATTTAAAAATAGAAAGGTTAATTAATATTTTATCTCCTTTGACAAAAGAATAAATAAATAAACGAAGATCGCAAATTTTATTTCATAAAAATTTTTTTATTTTAACCATATTTTTTATTTATTTTTTTGTTAATTCAACAAAAAGTTTCTTGTTCATATTAAAATCTAATTAAAAAAACACACTTCCTGAAAATATGTTATCTGCTTCTATGATAAATTCCCACTTATTCAAGACTTTGTATAAACAGCTGATTTTTCATAACGAAAAATGTTTATCGAAAAAGACATTAGTTTATAATTATTCATATATCTAGTCGAACGTAAGAATTTATAAAAATGGTAGTCATTCTTTCCATTGCAATCGTTTGTTTAAGTTTTTCTCTTGGTAAGTAAAAATTAATATCCAAAATTTATTTTTACATTAATCAAATTAATTTAACAAGTGTTTATGTAAATTATTAATTGGAATGATAAAGAAATATTTTTAAAATAATATAGTCATTTTTTTTAACGTACAATGTTCAAAATATTTTTTTAACTAAAATTACAAAATTTTACTTCTCTTATATTATATTAATATTTTTTATAATAATATAATTACTTATTTACAGGAGAATCTTTAATATGTTACACTTGTGCATCACCGGGTTCTGAATTTTCTGATAGATTTGATAAATGTCAAAACGTTTTCAGTTCAGAAGCATCATACTTTCCATTTGAAAATAATCCAAAATGCTACAATGGCGCTTTTTGTGCTAAATTTATTTTAGATGGTAAATTTGAAAAAAAAAATAATTCTATTTTTAAGAAATAGACACACAATTATTATTTTTATAAAAATATAGTTATTTTTAATATTTTAATATTTTATAAAATAATTTCAATAAATAGTGAAGAGAGTTAAAAAAAGTTTAATGTAATTTTTGTTTTAGTTTCCAATAGAAAAGTTGAAATACGACAGTGTATTTCACAATTTGAAATTGTGAAATTTGATTTACAAAATCCTCCCTCACCAACGGAAACGATAAAAATTAATTATATGGGTTACACCGCTGATGCATATTTTTGTGATAAAAATTACTGTAATGGTGCTTCTATCATGAATATATCTGTAATTGCATTTTTATTACCTCTATTCCTGTATACTTTAATTTTAAATAATTTAGAAATGTTATAGAAATTTTCTTCTTCATTTGTTAATTTATTTTAATACGAATATTGTTATTTTTTATGTACTCAATAGAGTAACGAAAATTTTAATTTTCAATTTGTAAAATTTATATGTAAATATTTTTGATTTCTATACTGTATGCATATTTATTTATTTACAATTATTTACATTTTAATTAGAATTGTTACGTTTAAAAATTAAAATTTTTTTGTTTTCATGAATCTAAATAAGTAAAAATTAAAAAAAAATTATTAAATCTAGACTACATTGTTATAATAATACTTTAATTTAAAGGAATATAAAAAACAATATTTAATTTAAAATTTAAAAACTTTTGGCAAATTTACTTAAAGATTAGTAAGTTATTTACACCCACGAGTGAGGCCTTGGCATTGTTATAGAAATAAAGCCTCCGCTTAGAAAACGTGCGTAATGTTATGAAACGAAAAAACCTTCAGTTTAGTTTTGACTTAGACTCTGTAAAGTCAATTTTATCGAAAGATGAAACTTTTATTTTATTTGGGATTAGTCACAATTTCTTTCGCAATTTGTAAGTAAAAAATATTAATTCAATAAAAAAAATAATAAACTTTTATTATTACTTTTACAATTACTTATAGTTATATTTATCATGTTATGAAACTTAAAAATACATCATTAACGAATTAATATTTCTTTTGATTTTTATCTAGTTTTCACTGGAAAAAAAATTATAAACAAAATATAGTATTAATAATAATCTGATTTTATGAGATTTTAAAAATTCTTTTTCAAAAAAAAATTAAAAACAGATTTTGCAAAAGTATCTTTCCAAAATCTAAATTTATAGATACTCTATAAAAAATTTCACCTTGAGATCCTTATTTTTCATTATACAAAAATATATTTGTCATTTATATTTAAAGATCAATTTTTTTTTTTAATTTTTCCCTTGGAAAAAAAATTTCTCTTATTATTGAAAAATAGTTTGAAAGAAAATTTATCTAATTAAAAAAATTTCTCAAATTTTTTAAAAATTAATTTTTAAACTTGAGTAATAAATTACAATGATTAAAAATAAACTATTTTATAAATACTTTTTACATACTATTTTATTTATTTTTTGTTATTCATTAATAAAGAATGTAATGAAAGAAAAAAATTTACAAATTTTTTTCAATTAAATATTTTCCTAATTTATTTATTTTCAGTATAAATATAATTCTCAAGTGAATAGTGATTTATTATTGACTATATATTTTCTTGTAGGTGAATGTTTGCGATGTTATAATTGCTATCATGGCTTTAAATTAAGCTATGATCAAATTTATGAACTAGGAAATGAACATAAAATACATACTCCAAATAGTGACAGATGTGTTATTAATAACGGAGAAATCACAGGTCCAATTTGTGAAACTTCAAATCAATGCGTCGATATGATTGTGGATATAAGTAAGTTGTACTTATACTTTTTTAGCGAGGGAAAAATATTTTATTCAATAATTAAAATATTTTTTTTTTTTCACAGATGAAGAGAAGACTGTTTATCATTTTTGTTCAAACGTTGAATATCCATTTGAAGGGAATTTAATTCAAGTTTCCGGAAATGAAATTATGAAAGTATCTTATAAACATTGTTTAAATGATTTGTGTAATGGCGCATCTTCAATATTTACAATTACATCATTAGCGTTTATCTCAGTATTATCATTATTATTATTATTATTATTCTCATAAAATATGATTGCAATTTTTGTAATTTTTTTCGCTTTAATTTTTTAATTTTATTAATAATTTTCTTTTTTGTATCTCTTGATATGTAAATGAAAATAGTAAAAATGTAGATAGAAAAAAAACATCGAAAATTGTATAATTTTTTTTTAAGTATATATTTTTCACGATTCTTTTACTTTTTGTAAAAAAAAAAAAAAAAAATTACTATTTTAATTAAAATGGTTTTAAAAAATTTTATTATAAAGGAAGCAATTCATGTTTTCAATTTTTTTTGACATTAAGTTTATGTAATGTAATAATAAAAAAATACGAATAACTGCATATTAATGTTAATTTTTTAGAAAAATATTCATTTTCATAAAAAAATGATAAAAAAAAATCATCAAATTGTCAAATTTTTTTTTGACCAAAATATTTTTGAACTATGATTAGACTGAAAAAAAAATTTATTTGATTCAAATACTAGATTACTTGACTATTATTAAATAAATATTTTTATTTGTTTCAAATAATTATTAAGTCAATTAAATCATATTTGATTCGAAAACAAAAATTTTTGGTTAAAATAAAATTTAATTGAAATAAAAATTAAATGGTTCAAGTAGGTAATTATTTTGATAATAGTCAAGTAATTGAGTATTTGAAGCAAATAAATTTTTTTTTTCAGTGCATTACAGTGCAAATTATTTATTTATTTTAAAAAAATACGGAATCATTGTTCAGAAAAATTATGTCAAAGTAAAAATGTCAAAATGTTCAAAGTAAACTTTTAACTAATAGATAAGATTTATTTCATTAATGCTATGTTTTATATCTTTGTAATTAAAATCCACGTGTAATAATTATACTTATAATAAAAGACTTTAATAAATGTATATTTAAAGATTATTAAATTATCCATATTTGATTTTGATATATAAAAATATAAACTCTTCGCTTATAAAAATGTGTGTAATATCTTATGAAACATTTAATTTAGTTTCAACTTAGCTTCAGTATAATTAATTTTGCACATATCGAAAAATGAAATTTTTCCTTTATTTCGGATTAATCACAATTTCTTTCGCAATTTGTAAGTAAAAATTTTGTTAATAAAAAAAAATTATTATTATTTTTGTTACTTTTATAATTATTTATAGTTGCTTATTTTAAAATTTAAATGTGAATTTAGTCAAATTAAAATATTAAGATTAAAAAACAATTTACATAAATTAAAATTATTTTTATGAAAATTATGCTAAATATAAATTTTGTTCAATGAAAATTGTTTTAAAATAAAATTTTTGATATGAAAATTCGATTTACTTTTTAAAATTCTGCTGAGTGGAAATTTAATAATTATTATTATATATTTCTTGTAGGTGAATGTTTGAAATGTTATAACTGTTATCGTTCCTCTAAACTCGTAAAAATGGATACTGTAATAGAAAATATGCACAATGATAATGAAACTTTCGAAACTAAACCATGTAATTATGATACTAACGGAAAATTAGTAGGTCCATTTTGTGAAACTCCAAAAAAATGCGGCTATTTTAATATGAACATGGGTCCAGGTAAGTTGCATAAAACTTTAATTAATTTAGGTATTCAAAACAATAATTATAATAATAATAAAAATAATAATTTTATACTTTCGTGTAATAATAATTAAAATAAATATATATTTTTTTTACAGAAATAGAGATCTTTGATTTATATTTTTGTTTTGAAGCAGAAACAAAAACTGTTTTTCGACAATTCAAATATGCTAATAACAAATATTTAAAGGGTTATCGCAAAATTTGTTCCACTGATTTGTGTAATGGTGCTTCTTCAATTACAATTACGTCACTAGTAATTACCATAGTATTATTATTATTGTTGTTGTTTTCATAAAAAATTATTGTACCTAAATTTTCTATTTATTTCCCTCTTTACTTTTGCTTTATAAATATTTTCATTGAAAAAATTTGTATTCTAAATTTAAGAATAAATTGGCGCCTATTTAAGAATATTTCCCATGCATTTTATTCTTAAAGTTAGAATATAAATAAAATAAAAAAACAATTTTTAAATTAAAAACATATTCTACATGACAAAAGAAAATATTTTTAAAATAGGCGCCATTCTATTCTTAAAATTAGAATATAATTTTTTCAGTGAATTCAGTCTTAAGTTTTTTTTCTTATTGTCTTTAATTTAATTTTATCTTTATCTTTTTTTCATTTATAAGAAATTTGTAAAATTTAAATGTAAATATTTAAAATAATACTTATTTTATTAAAAAAAAAGCTCGATAATTTCATTTATACTTATTTTAAAAAATTCGAACACTTGAGTCTTTCGGATTCCAATCGTTCTCTTATATTTCTATTTTTTGCCAATTGAATTTCCTCGAGGGTTTTTCCCGCGGTACTTGGGGTGATAAAGTAAATTAAAATTGGCCCTAGAAACGCCGATATTGAAAAAACAAAAAATGTCACATAAATTCCTGCCATTTTGTTTAAAATTTCATAACCAGCAGCGGTTATTAAACAAAATATCGAAGTTACAACAACAATAAAAGAAATAGCCGTAGCTTTTATATTAATAGGAAAAATTTCCCCCATCAATATATCAGGTATTGGACCCATTCCCAATGAATATGAAATCTTATACATCACTAATCCTAAAAGCGGAAGCCATTTAATTGAAGAAACATTTATTTCAAGATAAAATTTCATAAAGAAAAAAATACCAATTACAGCTAATGATAAGGAGCACAATAATCCTGAATAGAGAAAAAGTGTTTTTCTCTCGAATCTATCGATAAAAAAAGTTGTGAAAGCACACGCGACAACTGTTATTCCAGTGACAATCATCACTTGATAACTTGCTTCCAAGGAGAAATCACTGTAACTCAAAATTTCTTCAGTATAAAAATTAACAGCTAAAATACCAGAAAACAATTGAATCACTAACATCAATGACGAAATAATCAAATCCCTCCAATGTTGTTTATTACCCAATAATTGAATTAATGCCATTTTTCCACTCAATTTTTGTTCAGCGATTGTTATTTTAATTTCCTGAATCTCTAAATCAAGTTCCTTTGAACTATTGACTTGTCGAAGTTTCACGAGAGTTTTCACAGCATTCTCATCGTGATTTTTCATAAAAAAAAAATATGGACTCTCTGGCAAAAAAAATGAAATCACAAAAAATGTCACGTGTATCAACATACAAATGGAATTCCAAATTTTAAATGGAAGAAATGCCGACAATGCTGTACAAATAAAATAGCCAAATGTACTGGCGACTCGCATCAAATTTCCTAAAATTCCTCGTATTCGTTTTTCTGCAATTTCCGATATGTAAATTATTAAAACATTTATTGTACCACCTTGATGAATACCAGCGAGTAATCTCGCTATATAGATATAGATATAATTTTCCGCATAAATTATCAATAGCCAACTAATTATTGCCGGTATGGTAAATATAATTATAGATTTTTTTCTTCCAAGTCTGTCAATAAATATAGGATCAATTATGCTGCCTATTGTATCGCCAACAAGTAATAGTGAAACGATCCATGTGCCTTGTGAATTGGTGATGATAAAATATGGATTTGGATTTTTTAAATATGGCAATGAAGGCGAAGTCCATGCTCTATGTGTTCCCAAGCCAACAATTCCAATACAAACTGAAACAATTTTTTTATTATTTAAAAATAATTTAATAATAATATTTTTTTAATGAAAAATTTTTTTAAAGGAAGATAATAAACTTTACCTGCAAATCCCACTGCGTACTGGACCAAACGATTTCCATTTTCAAAAAGTTGAGTATCAGATTTCTTACTATTCCTTTGGTATAATTTATCATACTCGTACTTTTCCTATTTTAAATCAAAAAAAAATTAATTTCCATTTTTATCAAAATTATTATTTTAGAAATAATTAAGAATAAAAATCATAATATACAGAAATTCTAAATAACAGTTAAGACCTTGGAGAAGAATAATTGCTTGCAACAGGTACAGTTAACTTAACAAGAAAGGATTGTCCATTAAATTATTTACCAGATTAAGCTTAAATATGACTTAAGATATGTCAGAGGAAATTAACCTTTAAAATTTTATTTTACTTCTGGAAATTTTATTAAAAATAATTTTTTAGAAATTTTAGTGCTAAAAAAATACATGAAATTATATAATTATTATTCGAGTTTGTATTAAATTTATTTTGGCCGTTTATCATTATTATTTCTTTCACTATATTATTAAAGAAACAAATTACAACCGAGTTCCAATTTATTCTCGAGTTGAGATAGCAAAAATTTGACTTAAAAAAAAAAAGTTAATTTCTTCGACAATGTAAAATAAAATATATATTATATTTTACAAAAAAATATATTATATTAATATTCATAATAAAAAATAATTAATTTTAATTCAACAAATTCTATTTTCTCAACAACTTGGTACTTTTATAATAAATAGTTTTTGTCAAATTAATAAATTGATTAAAAATTCAAATAAATCCAGTGCAATAAAAATAAAATATAGTCTTACCTCCGACATATCTCTGATGCGTGTGGAGGTTTTATTGACACTGACAATGAAACTAATTTTGCAATTGCTTGGCCTTCTATAAAAATTTTTCTCAAATTCTACACAGATAAGAAATCTTGCTTTTTAAACAGTAAATTAAATTATTTACATCCTTAAAAAAAAATTTGCCACTATAATTTAAATATAAATTATTAATAATTTATTAATTTACAAAATCTATAATTAATTTCACAAAAATAAAACAAAAATTATCTAAATTCAAAAAATAATTAATATTTACTAGAAAAAAATTTGTACAATTTAGATAAAAAAAAAAAATTGCAAAATTTTTGTATATTTAAATTATTTAAAGGAAGAAATTATTAATTCCATTTTAGGTAAGAAAAGATTTAGAAATGGAAAAAAAAATTTATTTCAACAAAATTATTAATCTTTTTTTTTTTTTTTTAAGGGTAGTTTTGATTATTATTTTTAAAACATTGGTTCGAAGATTATTTAGTACGGTCATGCTGTTGGAGTCTGCATGCGCTGACAGGGTCATTTGAGAATCCTGCGAAACTCTTTTGATAAAAAGCTCTCGCAGGACATTCGCGAAAATACATTGGCGCGATAAGGGTCATTCAGTATCAACTGAATGTTAAATAATAATTGTTATAACTAAGAAAATGAGAAATATATTTTTTCTATTAATTGTTACCACAATATTGACGTTAGGTAAGCAGTGCTGTGAAAATTGTCTATAATATTGTCTATATAATCTGCATAACGGGTATGTATATAGTTTCAATTTTTTTTGATTAATCATCTGCCAATCAAAAAACAGTATCAACTTTATAAAAAAAAAAAAAAAAACCGTTTTTCAAATTTTTCACCATTAAAGATTCCATCTTTTAAAAAATAAATTCTGTTTTTAAATTTTATAACATTAAAAATACTCTTATAAAATGAGTTTAAAAAATTATTATTAAAAAACAATAAAATAAAAAAATAAATAAAATTAATTTTTAATATATTTTAGAAACAAAATTAAAATTTCTCTAAAGGTGAAATAATTTAATAAATTAAATTTACAATCAGGTATAAAAAAAAGGAAATAATTTTTTTTTTGAATTTAATAACACATTCAACAAAAATTTGATTCAAATACTCGATTAGACTTTTATCAAATAAATGTTTATTTGTATCAAATAATTATTGTCCTTTATCAAATACAGAAATTATTGGTTTAAATACAATTTATTTAATTGAAAAAAAAAATTATTTATACAAATTTATTTATACAAAGTAAATATTTATTTGATAATAGTCGAGTATTTAAATTAAATAAATTTTTTTTTTTAATAAAAATTAAATTTTGATGAAATTTTTAGTTTTTTATTTCCTTTCGAAATTTGAATTTAAGATATGAAATCGCTTTTTGATAGAGTAAAAATTAATTTTTTTTTTCAGGAAAAACAATAAAATGTTACAATTGTATTGTTGATTCACCTGAAAATAATCGAACATCATTCAGCAATTCAATAACATTATTTGTTGGTGTAACAATACCTGATGAATATTGTAATACTTCGTTGGAATTAAGTAAATATCCCACATGTTCAACTCATCGTTACTGTATTAAAAGTGTCGTTGAGGGTAATTAAACATTCATTCAAATCACTGAATATTAAAACCATTAATTCAAACATCTAATCCCAATATTTTTAAATCAAATTAATTATTTTATTATTTCAATTTATTTTATTTATTCTTCTCTATTATTAAAAAAAAAAAAAAAAATTTTATAGATTAAAAAACAAATGTTTATTGAAACTTTTAAAAATATATAAAAATATCTCTATTTTGCAGTAACACATGGAGAAATCGTTATACATTTATGTCAAGAAAATTCTGAATTACCCCATTTAACGCCCAATGAACCAAAGATTTTTAAACACAGCCAGTTTAAATACACTATTTATCCATGTGACACTAATTTATGCAATACTGCTTCCAAAATTATCACTAATACGTCCATTATGCGATATTTATTACTCATTCTATTATTTTACATATAAAAAAATAATTAAAAATTCTTTTTTACTTAATTAACGCATCTCTTCTTGCTTCTCGGATAAATAAAATTAAAAATAAATTATTCTTCTTATAAACAAAAAAAAAATAAAAATCATTACATATCTAACTAATAAGAATTAAAATAATAGTAATATAAAAAAAATTTTATTAAATGCAACGAATATTATGATTATTATTGCTTTATATATTTACTCATGTATGGAGTTATTCCACGATAATTTTTGAATTTTAAATAATTTTTCATTGCAATTCTTATTTATAACAGTACCAGTTATAAAATATTTTTTTTTTTATAGTATATTTAATAAACCAATGCAGTTTGTTTATTTGAAGGAAACATAAAAAAAAAAAATTATCGTGGAATCAATCTTGGCTTAAAATTTATAAATAACATTATTGAAGCACGGCAATTTTATAACTATATATATATATATAAATATATTTAAGTACAAAGTAAGATATATGCAAACCACACTGCCTATACGTCGTTATTAACAGCAAAACTCCATTGTAAAAAAAAATTTATAAAGAAAATATTGTTGCAGAGTTATATAAGACAATTTATTATAAAGAAAAGTTATAGAAAAATATTATTTAGAATTTAAATAAAAAAAAGCTACACGTTATTCAAATAATCATAAATGCTAAAAAAAAAAACATGAGCGATTCACTTTTCGCACTCGATATATGCAATATTTTATAAATTATAAATAAATTGAAATTTGTTATAAATAAATACGTTTTTAATGCTACAATATTTTAGTATTATTTTTCCCCTAAAAAATAAGATATTAAATTTTTATTAATGAAACTAAAATTATTTTAATAATTATAAAATTCTTTCTTTCTAAATTATTTGATATAGAATAAAAAATCAAATAATCGGTTACTTGACAAATATTTATTACCAAATAATTATTATTATCGTATTTTTTTTAAAATACAGAAATTATTGGTTCAAATACAATTTAATTCAATTATTTGATTTCAAAAATTATTCGGTTCAAGTAAATATTTATTTAATAATAATCGAGTTTGAATGAAATAAATTTTTTTTAATTTTTAATTTATCATTTTATTTATAAAATCGTGTTTTTTTTTATTAATTTTTAAATAAATATCGATAAATCAATAAAAAAAAAAAAATCAAAATTTGAATCATTTTTAGTAGCTAGTTAAGAGTAGGTAACGATTTTTTTGATCTGATTGGCGAAAAGAGGGTGTTCACTATCCTGCAACAGAGTCTGCGCCATCAAGATTGAGAGCATCAGTTGTCATATAAACCAACCTCGATTTAAGGTGAATTCCAGTAAAAAATCAACAGTAAATTTATCTCAATTCAGAATGAAATTCATCTTATTTACAGTGATTTTTATCATAACATTCACTTCCGGTGAGTTAAAAAGGAAAATCATTTTTTTAAAATATTTTTTATCATCTTATTTAATCAAAAAAAAAAAAAAAAAAAGAGGGAAAAATTTATATAAAAAAAAAAAAAAATTTTCAGGATACTCTATTCGTTGCTATCAATGTATTCAAGGATTTCCAGCTGTTACCGACGATTCAACAATTGAAAATGTGCCATTACCAAAAAATCTATCATTGCCAGGAGTTGAACATTTACCAACTGCTTATTGTAAAACTCCATTTGAACTTAAAGGAAATATTCTTTGCACAGCAGCTCATCGATGTATGAAAAGTGTCACTTACGGTATGTCAGAGAAAAAAAAGAATATATTTAAATTTCCCCAAATTTATTTAAAATTTTTATAATAACAAAAAATTCATTCAGTTTTCATAATAATAAATTAAAAATTAGAAAAAAATTTCAAAATGACACTTTTAAAATAAAATAATAATAATATAAATTTTTGTTTTTAATAAATAATTTAGTCAATTTTTAAATATAAATTATAATTTTCCTTTTTTTGAATAATTTCATTACGAAATTAGTATTTTTCTAATTGAAAAAATTTGGAGAAACCCACTTTATCACCACTCGATAAAAAAGTTATATAATTTTTATATTTATAAAAATTAAATTATTATTTAATTAATTATTTATATTTATTTATTTATAAATATAAATTATTATATAATTTTATTTATTTAATTATTAATTATTATTAGTTACTTAATTTTTATATTTATAAAAATTAAATAACAATTTTTTGTATAATATTTTTTATGCAATCTTTAAAATTGAAATATTTCAATACTTCTATTTTTTTTTTTTTTTGCAGAAAAAGATAACAAATTTATAATTCGCTATTGCGCGCCAATGAGAAATGAATATGGTTTTGAAGTACATCCATCGCCAAAAAAACCAGTTGACATAACAAATGGTTGTCATAAATTTCGAGCTTACATTTGCGATACCGATTTATGTAATGGATCAACAAAAATTAGATATTCCAATTTTTTCTTTTTATTATTGCCATTTTTATTTTATTGAAAAAATTCTAAAAAAAAAAAAAAACAATTTTTAACTATTAGTAAAAATCCCGATTATAATTATTAATTATATATAAATATATTGTTATACAGGGGAGTTAAGTGCCAATATTTGTGAAAGCTGCGCGACAAAAAACAGTACAAAATAGAAACCAGAAATTTTTCTATTGTTATGACAAATTTTTACAACAAAAAATATCGAGAGTAATTTCTATTTTTCATTCTTTTATTATTTAGTGATTCTATTAAAAGAGATTTTATTATGTGATATATTAAAAACTGAACTGCGATTTGTTATTAAAAAAAAAAAAAAAATGTATATAGATTTTAAATGAAAATTCTAAAAAAGCGAAAAATCAATAGTAACATCGATTAAGTATTAATTACACTAAAAGTTTTTAAAATATATTTAAAACATTGAAATATTATATATGTATACATGAGTTCGATAAATAGCTTATTTAAAAAAAAATTGTTTTTCTATTTTTATTTCTTTTTTACGTTTTAATTTTCCATTCAAATAAGGAAAATTATTAATATTAATTTGTTACCATTAACGAATGTTTTATTAATTATTTATTGCCATGGGGCTAAATAAATTATTTACTAGATAATTATTTTCAAAACTATAGTTACTAAATTATAAATATTAAATATATTCTATATAATAATCAAAAATTAAAATTATTAATTAATATTATTAATTTAAAAATATTAAATAATATAATAATTCAGTAACATAATTTTATTATTAAAATTAAAAATATCTAAAAATTACAAAAAAACGTATAAAATTTGTTATAAAAAAATATATATATATATATTAATTTCTCTTACATTTTTATCAAAAATACTATATAAAAGATGTCATTGTTTCGTTTGTATTCGACTAAACTTACATTTCTCTATCTTATCGGAAGCAATGAGATAAATAAGAGAATAAAAATTAATTTCAACGAAACTTATAAAAATGATAAAAGTTAAATTTTAGTAATATGTGAAAATAATTGACAATTTTCTTAAAAAACTTACAAGCAAGAAAAAAAGACACTTTTTTTTACGTCGATACGAATTCGGTTGACTTAGATTCTAAAATTGCAGCTAAGACGTCATATTCTGATTGTCGTAAACTAAGAAGAAGATTTCTATAGGCATCTGGACCACGTGTTTTTATTGTGAGAAAAATTTCTCTTATTGTATCCAAATCGTTCAAAGTTTTCTAAAACAGAAATTTTAATTTGTAAAAAAATCGTCTAAAAATAATTTTTATAAAATAACAAACAATTTAACAAAATATAATATAATTATAATATAATTAAATATAAATATAATTGAGAATAATTATTTAGAATAATATATTTAATATTTTAAAATATTTTAATAAAATTGAAAATAAATTGCATTAAAATATTTCTAAACTCAAGTATTTATTTTCAATTTTAGTAAATTGTTTTAAAAAAAAATTTTAAAAACGTTTTTATAAATAAAAATGAGTTCTTACTTTCCAAACTGGAACGTTGAAGTCGTCACGATTATAAATTTTATTTTCGATTAAGAATGGCCATAGTACATTCATGTCAATATACGGAATTAATGTCTCACACCATGTATCTAATTTTTGTCTGTGAAAAGTTTCCATTTTTAAACACTTTAAAGAAATTTTTTTTTTTTTTTTTATCTTTTTTTTTAAACACTTAATAATAAAAATTCAACGAATTCTGTTGATTTCAGTGTTGAAAATACAAGACTGTCTAAGGACTGCTGTAAATATTGTACGCACAAACTTGGAGTGTGTCTACCCTATTCTTTAAACTCCCCTCCACAATGTACAGCAAGATTCATTAAATATTTTCTATTTTAAAAAATATTAAATTTTTCCAATATTTTTTTTTCGAAATTAATTTTTTATATTTGATTCAATTTTTCAAAAAATTAAAGATTATTAAAAAATTATTTAAAAATGTAGAGGAAATTTTTCTCAAAGTAACGAAGTTACAAATATTATGAAAGAAACTGTAATGCTGACTCAAGCTGCGGACTGAATGTGAAAGTCTAAAAATATAAATGCCCCTCTCTTTAACATCCTTCTTTGTATCATTTTACTGTACATCTAGTGCAATTAAAGTAAAATATTCGTTTAAAAAAAAAAATTTCTTTTTTATAACTTTTTTTTTTAATTTTATATTTTCAATTTTTCTAGGAAAATTTTTTTTATTTACTGCATAATTAATTTATATTAAATAATTTAATAACAAAAAAAATGAGTAAAAATAAAATTATAAGAAAGAGATTAAAAAATATAAAAACGAAACTAAAAATTACTAATAATGAAGAATTGTATTTTATCAGGTGTGAAAATATTTCTCCTTGAAAAAAATATAGAAATTTCCTCGCAGAAAAATTATAAATATGCAAATTTATAATTGAAAAAAGATTATAATATTCCAATATTAAAAATATAGATGAAAATATAAATTGACCAGAAATTGAATTATTTAATAAAAATGAAGTTTTAAAAAAATATGATAAAACTTTTAATAACGTGATATGTGTTATCATTCCATTCAGGTATTATTTAATATTAAACTTAATGCCATTTTAATCTCTGACATACATTTTTTTTTTGCATACCCGTAAGTAAAATGAAACGAGGAAAGATTCAGTGCACAAGTTATTGTCGCATAATAAATATGTATATATAAATGATTCATAAAAAACTTTTTACGACTTTTTTTTTTTAAAGCAATTTTCAATATGATTTATGAAACTATTCTATATTCGAAATATTAAAACTTTTCTGAGTGTCAAATATAAAAAAAGAAGAGTTCAATTTCTTTCTGTTATCTTCAATTTTTTAATATAAAGAATTTAAAATGAAATTTTTAATTTTTACTGCATTACTATTTACAATCTCCTCAGGTAAATATGCAATTTTTTTTTAAATAATATTTAATTTGTTAAAATTTTTCTCTACATTTTTGTATTTCAAGCAAAATAAAAAAAATTTATGATTCAAATAATCAGTTATTTATCAAAAAAAAAAAATTTACTTAAACCAAATAATTTTTATTTAAATTAAATTGTATTTGGACCAATAATTTCTGTATTTAAAACAAATACTATTTAATTGGCTCAAAAATTATTTGGCTCAAATAAATATTTAATAAAATAGTAACCGAATATTTGAAACAAATAAATTTTTTTTTTCAATGTAACGAAATTTTTTATAATTAATTACAATTAATTTTTTTTACAGCTGAGGCAATTTTGTGTTACGATTGTGTCTATTGTAACGATCCTTTCGAGCCAAATTCAGAATATATTAGAAGCTGTAATGGTACAATTTGTTCAAAAACAACTCGATTCTATGCAAATGGTAATAAAAATACGATTTTATAAACAAAAAAAAAAATATTTTTGAATTATAAATAAAAATTATCTCACGAGCTAAAATAAAAATAAAAACTCGGAATTTTATTTGAAACAAAAATTAAATATTTATTTACTGTGAAACAAATAAATTTTCCCTCTATAGGCAAAGTTGGTTTAATTTTTTCCAATCTATAAATTATAATATCAATTATTTCAGAAAAGAAAACAGTTGTTCTTGCACGTTCATGTGAATTAAATGTAACACTTGGAATACCAACAACTTATTGGAAAAAGTACTATTGCAATAAAAATTTTTGTAATGGTACATCATCATCTATCAATACAGCAACAATTTTTCTCTTTCTTACAGTTTCGATGCAATTATTTATTTCGTGACATAAAATAATTTTGCAAAACAGTAATATCTATTTTTATAAGTTACAATTTTTTTTTATCTATTTTTAATTATCTGATTAATATTAATTACAATTATCTGAATTTTCATGTTTAATGACCAATATTAATCTTTAAAATTTAGCCTCCTTTTTTTTTTTGAAAAAGTTTTTCAATGTTAATAGAAAATAATCTTATCAACGAACATCATCAAAAGTTATGCGATTATTTTTATAATAATCTTGAGAAGATATTAATCTTAAAATTCGTGTATTCTCTTACTGCAATAATTATAGATATCAAAAATAAAAAAAAAAAAACTCAGTATTAACGAGTATTTCTGAGAAACACATATCCTGAAGAATTAAGTTAATTTTCAAATTAAATTCTAAATTTTTCTTTTCTTTCTAATTTACAAATTAATTAAAAAATCATGAAATTGGCAATAATTATTTTCATTATTTCTACTACATTAGCTTTAGGTGAGTGTATAATAAATTAAGAATTTCATAAATTTTAAATAATTATTGAAAAATTAATTATTGTATATTTAAACATTAAATTTTTCTAGGAGAGTGTGTAAGTTGTTATTTTTGTAACAAAAGTGATTTAAGTTCTATTGAAGAGAACAAAATTTGTGGCGAAGAATTAATAAAAGAAGAAATGGATAATTGTACTGCAACTTATTGCTACAAAATCGTAGCAACATCTGCAAATAGTAAAAAAAAAATTGTTTTAATTTAATTTTTAATTTTTTTTTTTTTTTAATTAAAAAATATTTTTTTATTAAAACTGTTATTATTATTTTACAGATTCATATAGTGTACCAACTATATGGCGTGGCTGTACAAATTCACGGTCAATTCTCGCGTTTGAAAAAATTCGATCAAAAAGATCAGTTGTACATACAGAATATGCAAATGTTTACTATTGTGATTCCGATTTTTGTAATAGTGCCACTAATTCAAGTATTTTTATTATTTTGTTATTCATTAGTTTTGTAAATTTAATTTTATAAAATAAAGAACATTTATATTTCTTATTAAATTATTACAATTAATAAATAAATAATAAAAAAAAAAAATAATAAATTTATTACAACAATTAATTTTTATTAAAATTCTTAATTAAATAAGCAATAAATTTTAAAGAAAGCAATAAACAAATTTCGTTTAAATTAATATATCGATTAATGATAAGGAAGAATTCTCTAAATCTATCGTCTTTGCTTTAATGGTAACAAAATATGCAGTTATCTGAAAATTAAAATAAAGTTAAATAATAATGAAAAAAAAAATTAATTGCATTGAAATTCATTTTTTTCAATTTTAAAAAATTGTGATTAAAAAAAAAATAAAATTATTTTTCAAAAAGTAGATGCCTGTTTTACCAATCAAAGAAAAATTCGTTCTAATTCCTTTACACTCTCAAAGATGTAGTAACTAACGTATAATTTTCAAGAAAGTAAATAATATATTTAAAATTATTAAAAATATAATATAAATAAATTATAATTTAATAATTTTTAATTTATTTTTATAATAACGTATGTTATTAAATTAATAAAAAATAGTAATTATTATTATTATTTAATATTGATTTGGTCCATACAATAATTTTAAAAATCAGTAGATTATTTTTTTTTTAATATAAAAATTATTTATAAAATATTTATTTATAAATATAAATATAATAATATAAATATAAATATAATAATAATATAATATAATATAAATATAATAATGTATTATTTATAATTATTTATTATTATTTATAATAATTATTTGTTTATAAAATTTTTTATAAAACTATAAATATAAAAGAATACTAACCAAAAAATTGATTAGACCCAAATTATTGGAAATTTTTTAAGCTCACATATAGCAAAGCGAATTCATTTATTTGGTTCCTTTTCCAAAACGAATTGCGTTCGTTCCTTAAATAATCGGGAATTATATTTTGATGAAGTCATTTTCAAAATAAAAAGCAACGGAGAAGGTAATTTGAAAAAAAATTTGCTTCTTTAATTAATTTAGTACGCAATAAAAATAAAAAATCTAGTAAAATAAAAGCATCTCTAAATTTAAGAAAATCCTGTTTTTTTCATGATTTTTATACCGTTGAGGTGAAAAGACCTACACTAGGGTTAACGTCCCAAAATTTAATTGTCACCTGAACTTAAAATTACTCAAATACTATAGGTACATAAAAATATAAAATAATAAATAAAAATATAAAAACGCCATTCCTACTCAATTTTTTGTATGTTTTCAGTTGAATCAACAGTTTTCAAAAATTGTAGCAAAATTTATCATTTAAAAATGATATAAAAAATTCATTTTTAATTTATGATTTAATTTATTGTATAAATAATTTTAGTGAGAAAAAAATGTATTATATGTGGACTTTTCTTAAACAGAGAATGGGGTTAAATAAAAATAATAAAAAATTAATAAAAAATGACTCACCGTTCGGTGAATCCCACGTCGATTGCATTGCATTTTCTGGGCCACTCCCGAAGATCCCTCCCTCTTGATTGCACTTCTGCGGAGATCGGGAGCCACAACTATACCGTATTTAAAAAAAAAAATTACAAAAAAAAATATACGGCAGTATGCTGGGACCACTTTTCTTCGTCCACGTCCTTCAAGGTTTGGGCACTGACAGAAAAAAATAAAATTATTAATAAATAAAATAAAATTTTTTCAGTGGATAAAAAATAAAGTAATTATAGTGGATAATTGACACAACATTTCTTATTGTCACACACGAAGATCCCTGCCGTAAAAAAAAATTCGGGGGCAAAGTCACATTTTTTTTTTTTTTTTTTTTTCCCAAATGGTCGAAAATCCGCGGTGGGTCCTTTATTCTGCCATCGTCATTTGCATTGTAAACGACGTGTTTGAAACCACTCAAATCATAAGATTTGACAATGAAAACGATGTGACTGCGAGAAAAAGACTTGAGTCGCCATTTTCAAAGTTGCCGACAAAGTGCCGCCATTTTTTGATTTAGTGACCGCAATTGTCAATAGAACGATTGTTGGGTAAACTGGGCATGGGACACCGCGCGTTTTCTGAGGGGTTGATATGCTTTATGGAATAATAGATTTGGAGGTGCTATTATGCTCCCTTGTAACTTATATATATCTACACTAGAGACTTTTGCTTCACTTCTACCTGCGTGTGGTCCATGTTCCATTGTGGGAAACAGGATGGGTGTGAATTAAATTGAATGACGGTGGGTGTCACATATATATATATATCTACACAATAAAAAAAAAACCCACATTAAATATATAGTAATCTCAAAAAGTCACTTGTCAAACATTCGATCGTCTTTCAAAATGTAGGACACTTACGACTTCCGGATGCTGTGGCTTTCAAATGCCAGTCTCAATTTGCGCACTAATTCTTAATATTGTGGACAGCTCAAAAGCCATTGGTCCTCAAAAATCATTCAAAAACGATTTTTTAACAATTTCTAAAGATTTAAAAAATTGGGATCACGTAAGATTTATTGTATTCGGAAGTTTTTTCATATATATATATATTTATTTTTATCTGATGGAAATATATAGAAAAGATGAAATAATTTATATAAAGAAATAAGCTAAAAATACAGCTTTATGAAATAATCAATTGTAAATTTGTTCTAACAGAGTTAACTGCACGGAAAAAAAAGAATTGCTTACAGATGCTATGTTTGCTATCGGATCTATAAAAATTAGTAACCACAGCTAAATTTTTTGCTATATGACAACGAAAAAGTTTGCTGTGATAAACAATATCAGTCTTAATTTTAAAAAACAATTACAGTCACAGCAAACTTTTTTGACCCCACAGCAAATTTGTTCGCTGTCCCTTAACATATATATTAGCTAACGTAATTTGCTGCCACTGCAAAATTTTTCTATGCGTGTGAGAACTTCATGTTACTAAAAAAGGAACTCCACACTGAGAGAAATGGTTGCGATTACCATTTTGTTAGTATATTTTTGCTTATTTTTATTAGTTACTCTTACCATTTAGTTAGTAAGATAACTAACTGAATAGTTATTCCAACAAACTAATTAGTTAAACCAACTAATAATATAGTTATGCCAACCAATAAAAATAGTAACAACTAATAAATTAGTATCAAAGTTTACTAACTAAAAAATGGTAACCTCAACCAATCTTTTCTCTCAGTGCAATAAAAAAAAACTGTAAAAAACTGTTCTACATATTGCACCGAAAAAAGGGTTTGGTATTGACATCCAAACGTTTGGTTGGTATTTAAGCAACTAAAATTTTTTTTGTTGAATCAACAAAATTTTATTGGTCTGAATCAAAATTTGTTTGACACAACCAAAATTAGAAAAAACACAGAAAATTAAAAGGCATTAAAATAAGCTCCAACGCTTCTTATTTTAATCCAATTTTGCTTATTTTAATCCATTTTGGTATTAAAATAAGCAAAATTGGATTAAAATAAGAAGCGTTGCAGCTTATTTTAATGCCTTTTAATTTTCTGTGAAAGGATTTTTGTTGTCCTAACTAAAGTTTGATTGGGACAACCAAAATTTTGTTGATTCAACAAAAAAAATTTGGTTGCTTAAATACCAACCAAACGTTTGGTTGTCAATATACCAAACCCTTTTTTCAGTGTGGGATATATTTTAATCTTGTAAATTACAATTTTATATTATGGAGAGAAAAGATTGGTTGCTTACCATTTTTAGTTATATAGTAAACTAAGCTGCGCTAATTTATTAGTGGTTACCATTTTTATTAGTTGGCATAACTATTTTATTAGTTAAATTAGTTTAATGGAATAACTAATTAGTTACCTTACTAACAAAATGGTTAGACTAACTAAATGGTAACAGTAACTAATATAAATTAACAAAAATAATCTTACTAACGAAATGGTCACAGCAAATAGTTCCCTGCCACAGCAAAATTTTTCTATGCGTGTGACAACTTAATGTTATACTCGAAATGAACTCCACACTGAGAGAAATGGTTGCGATTACCATTTTGTTAGTAAGAGTATTTTTGCTAATTTTTATTAGTTACTGTTACCATTTAGTTAGTAAGATAACTAATTGAATATATAGTTATTCCAACAAACTAGTGGTTTCCAACAAATTAGTTAAACCAACTAATAATACAGTTATGCCAACCAATAAAAATAGTAACAACTAATAAATTAGTAGCATATAGTTTACTAACTAAAAAATGGTAACCTCAACCAATCTTTTCTCTCAGTGCAATAGAAAAATTGTAAAAATATATTGTTCTACATTGGTATATTTTAAACTTGTAAATTACAATTTTATATTATGGAGAGAAAAGATTGGTTGCTTACCATTTTTAGTTATATAGTAAACTAAGCTGCGCTAATTTATTAGTGGTTACCATTTTTATTAGTTGGCATAACTATTTTATTAGTTAAATTAGTTTAATGGAATAACTAATTAGTTACCTTACTAACAAAATGGTTAGACTAACTAAATGGTAACAGTAACTAATATAAATTAACAAAAATTATCTTACTAACGAAATGGTAATCGCAACCAATCGTATACCAATACACCGAAAAAAAATTACAATTTGGCTTCTGTTTAATTTCTATATAATTCAAAATTAGTTAAATTTAACTAATTATAAACCAGCAGGACCATTTTCAAAAATAATTCGAATAACAAATTTACTGCCACAGCAAAATTTTTTCTATGCGTTTGACAACTTCATGTTACTGAAAATGAACTCCACACTGAGAGAAATGGTTGCGATTACCATTTTATTAGTAAGAGTATTTTTGTTAATTTTTATTAGTTACTCTTACCATTTAGTTAGTAAGATAACTAATTGAATAGTTATTCCAATAAACTAATTAGTTAAGCCAACTAATAAATTAGTATCAAAGTTTACTAACTAAAAAATGGTAACCTCAACCAATCTTTTCTCTCAGTGCAATAAAAAAAAACGGTAAAAATATATATTGTTCTACATTGCACTGAAAAAAGGGTTTGGTATTGACAACCAAACGTTTGGTTGGTATTTAAGCAACCAAAATTTTTATGTTGAATCAACAAAATTTTAATTGCGTCTCAACCAAAATTTGTTTGACACAACCAAAATTAGAAAAACGATTTTTGCGTTGTCCTAACTAAAGTTTGATTGGGACAACCAAAATTTTGTTGATTCAACAAAAAAAATTTGGTTGCTTAAATACCAACCAAACGTTTGGTTGTCAATACCAAACCCTTTTTTCAGTGTGGGATATTTTATATCTTGTAAATTACAATTTTATATTATGGAGAGAAAAGATTGGTTGCTTACCATTTTTAGTTATATAGTAAACTAAACTGCGCTAATTTATTAGTGGTTACCATTTTTATTAGTTGGCATAACTATTTTATTAGTTAAATTAGTTTAATGGAATAACTAATTAGTTACCTTACTAACAAAATGGTTAGACTAACTAAATGGTAACAGTAACTAATACAAATTAACAAAAATAATCTTACTAACGAAATGGTAATCGCAACCAATCGTACCAATACACCGAAAAAAAATTACAATTTGGCTTCTGTTTAATTTCTATAATTCAAAATTAGTTAAATTTAATTAATTATAAACCAGCAGGACCATTTTCAAAAATAATTCGAATAACAACACAGAAAATTAAAAGGTATTAAAATAAGCTGCAACGCTTATTATTTTAATCCAATTTTGCTTATTTTAATACCAAAATGGATTAAAATAAGCAAAATTGGATTAAAATAATAAGCGTTTTGCAGCTTATTTTAATGCCTTTTAATTTTCTCTGAAACGTCTTATTCATAATCGTTTATTGGTTTTTGGTGTGTAAGCATAATGGTCATTTGCGGCTTTTATATTTGTCGGTTTTTGTATGGTTATATGGTATATATATATGAACCAGCGAAGCTTTTACCCATTACGTTTTGCTAAACTTGCGCGTGGTTTTGTATATATATATAAGAATATGGCGGTCAGCGGCACGTCAAAGAGCTCTCATTAAATGCTAGCAATTAACTGCGACCAAATCCTGAGCCCATATAGTCTTTTCTTTCTCACACTAGTGCCACACTTCTTCTATATATATATATGTCTCTTTTGCTTTCATTCAATCCCACAACCATTTTAAAATCTTTTTTTTTCCCCTCACTTTCTGCACACACACGCGACGACGATGAGTTCAGGTGTAAACGTTTATAGTCTGCGCTTCTCAGATCCAAAAGGAAAACTTAATTGGTCTTGCCAACAAGAACGATCAACATCTATCACTTCTCAAGGTTGTTATATTTACTGATATATATCATTCTCATTTATGATAAGATATGCCATAACCTCAAAGTTCATGAAACAAATTAGATTATAGGGGCCAAAAGTATTCAGGGTGTTCCAAAAGTATGGAAACTTGCAAATATCTCGAAAAGTACGAATTTTCGTAAAAAATGTTCAATACAAAAGTTGTTCCAAACAAAAAGATCTACATTGTTGAAACCAAAAAATTGGGCCCTACAATGAAAAAAGTAGTTTTCTTAAATGAGACCACTAATTTTGAATATCAAATTCGTAATCCCCATGAAATTCTGCGTTCAGACATGTGGTATAAGTGCCCAAAATATTGGGCCCAATCCAAGATA